TAGGGATGTTTTTTGTTTCTTTCCCAGTGTGCTGTGTTCCTTCTAACTTCCAGTCAAATACTTCAAACCAGAGAGAGCAACATAGAGCTGGAGCCCTACCTTGCCTGGCCCACTATGGTGAGCTAAGACAATAACAGCTGCAGGTACTGAGCTCTGTGTGTGGACCTGTGACTGTAGGAGTCACCCATTAGCTGTTCTGGCTGGCTGAACTTGTGGATGGCTCAAGCTTCCTTGAACCAGAGGAGCTGTCAATGTACCTGTGGGCATGGGAGATGCCCAAACAGAGGCAGCTATTTCTAAATGTTTCTGAGGAAGGATACCAAACCAAAGTAATTTGTGCTAGGGAGTAAGGGTAGCCACATGCCCTGAGCAATCCTCTATCCCTTGCCACACAGTTTTCTGCCCAGCCACTGCATGAATCCACACACAGCTGGTCATTCTGTTCTCAAAGGTTGGAACACAGCTTTTAAATGGAAGTACTTTCTGCTTCTCTCTGTAATTCAGACCATTTCCAGCCATGCAGACTTGTGTCAGTACTATTTCTAGTACAACTTTCATTGGCTTATCCTCATTTCATTTATTTGTCATTATTAGATAGTACACCTTCTGAACTGAGTCTATGACATTCTTATCTCTTTTCCCTCATTTTTCATCTTTTCATTTTTAGTTCTACTTTAAAATTTACAAACTTTTTTTTTTTGTGGTACAGGAGTTTGAATTCAGGGCCTACACCCTGAGCCACTCCATCAGCCCTTTTTGGTGAGGAGTTTTTTTGAGATAGGGTCTCACAAACTATTTGCCTGGGCTGGCTACAAACCATAATCCTCCTAATGTATGCCTCCTGAGTAGCTAGGATTATAGGTGTAAGCCACTGGCAACTGGCTACATAACTTTTTTTTAATATTTATTTTGTGGTACTGGGGTTTGACTTGCACTTACTAGGCAGGCACTCTAACTACTCCAGTCACATGCCCAGCCCAAATTTATGCAACTTTTTTTCTAAATTTTTAATTTGTCATTTCTGCTCTTGTATTTTTAATATCAAAGAATTATTCTTTTCCCCCTCTGTACAGCATCCTATTCTTGCCTTGTATATGTACCTTTTGTATGTAAGGTATTTTTATTTATCTGCTTTTTTTGTTCTTTCTTTCATGCTAGAGGTTTCTGGCCTTGACTAGATATCGAGATTTAAAACCATAGCACAAAAATACTAAAAGTTCTGTGAATACAGGTAATACTCTCAGCTAAGCCCTTTCATCAGAGGAAGTACTGATATCAAAATCAGTACGTTTAGATTTTGCTCTTGTTTTTTCCACATCCTGGGTTTGTCAGATTTCTCTAGGAAGAATCTTCAACTCTTAGGTAGTGTATCTAAGTCTGGCTGTCCTACTTTGGAAGTTGCACATAGGGGCACATTAATAGGTCATAGTAAGTATTTAAATTTTTGCTTCCCTTTACCATGCACTCTTCAACTATGTCCCATATCCCTCACTCCAGAGTCTCTGTTTCTTACTTCAAAGAATAAGCTTTTAGTATTCTGAGGTTCAAGAATGTGACCAGCAAAGCAAGGGGAGGAACTTTTAACCAGTTCTCAAGTTTTCAACTTCACATCCCCATTTCCAACTGTACCTGGATGCCCTGAAAGGAAACTCAATGAATACTGTCTTTCTCTATTATTAGGTCTAAGGATTCAGTTATTTGGAAGATAGCTAAGTCAATGTCTTTCTCTTTTCCAACTTCTAAAATTCTGTTGCTATTGTCTCCTTACCCTGGCCTTTTTGTCTTACATCAATTTTGTCTTTTTATTAAAACCACTGTTTCTCTGAAGTTTCAGGATGTAAGCACATGTTTAATTTACTGATTTTATTCTTTTTTAACTCTTTCTTAAGGCCTGCGCCACTGCTAATAGCCACTGGAGAGCAAATTATTCAGTTAAACACTTTTTTATTTTTTTAAAAAAAGAACAAACTCTCAGATAGGTACTGTGGTCACACCTGTAATCCTAGCTACTTGGGAGGCTGAGATTGGGAGGATCATGGTTTGAGACCAGTTCAGGTAAAAAAAAGTTCATAAGACCTCAGCTCAAACCAACAGCAGGACATGGGATACATCTATCAACAAAACTATGTGAGAGGCTAAGATTGGGAGGATCATGGTTCTAGGCCAGCCCAGGAAAAAAGTTTGTGAGACCCCACCTCAATGGAAAAAAGCTGAGCATGGTGGTTCACACCTGGTATCCCAGTAATGGTGGGAAGCCTGAAATAAGAGGGTGGCAGTTTGGAGTGACCTGGGCAAAAAAGCAAGATACTTTCTCCAAAATAATCAGAGCAAAAATGGCTGGATGCACGGCTCAAGCAGTACTGAGCCTGCCTAGTAAGCACAAAGCCCTGAGTTCAAATTTCAGTTCTGCCAAAAAACAGACATATTTTCAAAAGAAAATGTGTCCAGTTTGAAAATATACTCCAAAAGCATCTCACAATCTAAGGGCAACATAAATTTGAATATAATTTTTATTTCCATTAGCCAAGAGGTTTATAATTGAGTAAATTAGCCCTAACCCACAAATAACTATGACAGAACATGCGAGAGAAATATATTTTGACAAATGGAACCTCAGGAGTCTTTGGGGGTTATTTTGTTGGATTCTGAGATAGGGTCTCACTACTTAGCTCAGGCTGGCCTTCAGGAAGTCAAGATCCTTCTGCCTCAATGGAGGGTTACAGGCATATGCTCCCATGCGGAGCTTGGATCTGGACAGTTTAACTGGAGATGATTTAAATGCTATTTGTAAAGGATACACTAGAGCTTCAGACACATAAAAACAAAGTATAAAAATCAACACATTGTAAACAGAAACAAAGAACAGTATCTGCCTCCCCAAATCCTTTCTTCTTTGTTCTTTCAGCGAAGATATGACCCAAATTTCTGTATCCACCAATCCCTAACTAATTACATTCATCTTTTCAGTTCTGATATGCACCAAATATGAAAATGACTCCAAAAACTGTTTTTCCATCCATTTTCAAGAGCAAATTATTTTCTAGAGGACTTCTCCATGTTATATCAAAAAAAAAAAAATCCTGCATTATCTCTGAGCTGCCCCCCAATTCACCTCCCAAACAACTTATGTATCTACATTAAGACATTAACATTCATTAAAAAGGCCCACCAGCCAAGTAATTCTTCAATAAACTTTAATTCTTCCTCAATACCACTGCTTTTAAGTCCTACTTAATACATACCTTTTTCAGTGAGACGCTATTAACAAATGCTCACGGATTTTATGTTTTATTTACATAGCCATTCTGTCACTAGCTAGAGTTGCAATACTAGTGAGAAGATACAAGGAGCACCTGAGATCAAAATTAATCTATACCATTGTTAACTCATCACTCTCCCCAGAATATACATTAGGCAGTATTAACTTTTGTGTTATGGATCGTTTATGCTTTTAAGGAGAAGGGATAATTACACAATTAAATCAGCTAAAAATATATAGAAAAACAAGGACAGGGTTAGGAATCCCTAAGTTTTAAATATCCCTTGTTTAGCCATAAGATTACATTTCACAGAAAGTTTATTCAAGGTAATTTTACATAAACAATTTTCCTGAAGTTTACTAGTCGGCAAACTATAAGAGAAATAGTGAAGAATGTACATACAGGCTGAAATAGAGAGAAGTCATAAGCTATAGCCACTAATGATCCATGGCAATTATTATTCTCAGTCTGACTGACTGTAGATACAAAGCAGAACAGCTCACAGTACTGGGACGTGGCAAAATTTATCAAATTCAAATTTCATTCTCAGTACCTTCATTCTGGAAAATTCCTGCTTTGCATCGTTTAATATCTTTTTACATAAACAAATTATTTTCCTGTATTATATATACAGCAATACTAGTTTTTATAAAAGTATTCTTACATTAGATTACAAAGTATTTAATAGGTGTGATTTTATATCTTTCTGTAAATATATACTGTAAGTTGCTACTTATGACACTTTTTCCTTTCTTTCCTTCATTATTATTATTATTTTTTAATGCCCCATGGTTATAAAATGCCAGCTTGTCACTCATATCACAAACTTTACTCTCTTCTGGGAAAAAAATGTTGATGAATTAATACAAATTCTATATAATTACTAGAAACATGATCAATCATGAGAATACTGATTTCTTAACCTTATTTCCTCTGAACTGCTCTATTGCCTAGCATTTAAGTAAGGAAAAATTCATGGAAGGACGATAGGACGATATCACAACTTCTGCCTCTAAAAGGAGAAGAGTGGTAGCAATCAGCAAAAACTTGCCTTCCTGGCCACAAGACCAATAACTGAGAAACATTGAAGAATATAAATACTATCTCATTTTAATGAGTTTTAAGGATAATCAAAGTTGCCACACACTATCTAAAACATTAAGCCAACTGCAAATTTTATGACAAAGGTACATTATTCCTTTTATTTTAAGGTATATTTCATAAATAAACTCTGGTGCCAATAACATGCCAAGCACTGTAGATATACAGAAATAAGAAAATCCCTTCCTAAAAATACTCAAAATCTTATGGAAAGACAAACAAGTAAATAACTATAGTGCAATGTTATGATAAAGGAATATATGAGTGCAATGAGGCAAAGAGAGAACACCTAAGCCTGCCTACTGGAGTCAAGGTGGACTATAATGGAGGTAATGATTTCTCAAATGAGAGGAATTGATTAAAAAGAAGTTATTGCTGACATCATAGCATGAATACAAAACAGGGTATATATGCAGAGTCCAAATAGTAAGGTACAGGAAATGACCAAATTCTATAACACTGTTTTCAGTCTAGAATAAACTTACTAAGAGGTTCCAAATAAACTTTCAAAGAGGTTACAAAAAACACTCCTAAGTTTAGGCTAACTGACTTATGTGAAATTTCAGAACAAACCAAACCATTTATTTTAGACGGGAAAGAAGAAGAAAAAAAAAGACTAATAACAAAAAGGGTAATTACCTCCTTTTGTAGTGTCATTCTGGGCCTGGATGCCATGATGCAATGAATTATGAATGGCAGACAGAAGATCTGCTGCTTGAACCATCAATTTTTGAGCTTCTGCAACAGCACTGGTCTAGCAAACAAATCACCAAAAACATTCTTACATATTCTTTCACTGAAAGATATACATTAAATAGGAAAATCCTATAAACAATAATGAAATTGAATGCATGCTGCAATGATACTGGTTTTCACAAAGTATTACTTAATGGAGGATGCCCCAAATTATATTTTTCCCTCAAATCTATGTCTTGCAGAATTCATTAAAAAAAGAAAAAAGGAACCTAGCTACTCAGGAAGAGGAGACATGAGGACCCAGTTTGAGGCCAGCCCAGGCAAAGTTAGCAGGAGGCCCATCTGAAAAAGAAACTAGAAACAAAAGGCTTAGGCATGGCTCAACTAGCAAAGGCCTTGCCTATCAAGCTGTAGGCCCTGAGTTCAATCTCCAGTATGACCAAAACAAAACAAAACAAACAAACAAACAAAAATCCCAGAAAGAAAGAACATTTATGGTTTATTGTACTAACTTACTGTTTAAAATAAAAACCAAAGATGCACTCAACTGAGAAATGGGAAAAAATCCCAACAATTCTACTAAGTCATTCACTAAGATGGGGGCAAGAAATAAAAGTTAGTTTGGTAACAGCTGGCTCTACGTACTACTTATGAACTACTCACAAATTACTGACTTGTGTTAATGTAGAAATAAACAAAAACACTCACCAGTTAACAATTTAACTGAAAGGAAGAAAAGACCTACATAAAATTCTCATTTTTACTTTTTCCTGTTCAATCCACAAAAATGTAATAACATACAAGAGATTTGTTTTAACAACAGACATTGACATGTTATGGAATAGAATGTAAAATTCACATGCCTTCTCAAAATCATTGGGGTTACTCTGGTGCTAATATACCAAATGCTGAGTACTGTACATTGAGATCAGGACATTTAAATAGAAAAGTCTCAGAAATGTCTCAATAAGGCATTCCAACCAAAAAATCACTACAACAGACAGACAAATCATGCTCTTACCTCTTTCTTAGTAAAGGCTATAAGCACTGTCAGTAACACACGAGTAAATTTCACTCTGCTGAATACTGCTAAACATTGCTGATGCTAAAAACAAGAAAGGACTAGAAGTTAAAACATGCAAAGTTTTCAAAGGAATCTCATTTTAAAATATATATTTTTAAATTCCTAAATTACAATGTTAATGACTTACTACAATACACACACCTTCATGGATAGATTTTTAAATGCCTGAAAAATGAGCTGTAGACAACATAGAAAAAGAAAGCCTATTCTTCTGAAACAGAAAAGTAATGTTTCTATGGCAACAAGACTGATTTTTTCCTCCAAGTCAAAAGTTGCATGATTACCTCAAAAATGAATTAGCATTTTAAAGTGTTGGTTAAAAAGTGCTATAAGCAGAATCAGAAAATTGGGGATCTCCATAAAGGTTTAGCAACTTTTGATAAGGAAGTTCATGAGATTTGCTATGCCTCAAGCTGTCATCTGTAAAGAAACATTTTTTTCTTCCTACCTCACAGGAATACTGAAGAGTTTTGAAATCATATATTTGAAAGAGTTGTATTATCATTCTATGAAAATAAATACAAGGGAAATAAAATCCCTTGCAATTTCCAATTTTTAAAGAAATACCTTAAAAAGGGCTTCCATACATTACAACGCAGTTCATAAAACTACAACATTAACAGGTAGACTTCTCTGATATTATCTACCAGAAAATAAGTTCAATTACTTCTAGTTCAACTTCTGGATCTCTTTCTTCTCCTTGTCGACTTCGAGTACTCTAAAATTTTAAAAAAAGTAAATTAAAACAAGTACAATCCTGGAGAAGTACTAGGTTATAAGTATACAGGGTAAAGAAAGCACTAATTTATTGAGTATACAAAGAATCTATTTTTAGGAAAAAAATGTGGAGGAAAACAAGCTATGTTTGTTATTTTTCTCTTAAAATGGTTATATTCACAAAGTTGATTGTGATATAAATTATAAACATCAGGAAAAACATCAGGTACTCAAACAGCAAGAGCAAAACAATAAAATAACACAAGCAAAAGCACACTGGCACACAGTTACTTTCATTTAAAGGGATCTATTAATTGAAATTCCTGATATTCTCAAAATTAACATTATCACAAAAATTAGTAACACTTTATAAAAGCACATCATAAAAAAAAAGTGGTATAGTCAATATTGACATTTTACACTAAGATACAAAACATTTTGTTAGTTATAGCTGAATACTTTATTTGACAAAATTCCACAGGAATATCTGATAGCTGACATGGGTCTTAGCAGTGGAGCTGCCACACATTAAGTAAATGCCCTTACCCTAAGCAAAACAGGGATAGCTTCACTTAACGTTTTTCCTCTCCTAAAGCTGTATATATATATATATATATATTTAATCTAAAAACTGGGCACTGTGTGTGTTTAATTGCCCAAATGGCTGAATAATTGTAAAAAAAAATTAAAGAGTAATATAGATTTTCTTGAACTATACTGTTATACAGGGTAAAATTTCAAAATATAATGTTTTCCCCCTTAATCCCTATGAGAAATACATCATGAGGGTCACATGGCTACAGTATGTCCTTAGAATGGAATTCAGCAGATCTGCAGTGTCACCATGCACTGAGCTCACCTGCTATCTTCCAGATACTGTACTAGCTGCTAAAGACAAAGGTGAAGAAGACGGTTCGTACCTTTAAGAGACTTAGAACTCTAGAGAGGGAAAAACACTGTTCTTAAAATATGCTAAAAGTCTAAAATGCTGATAAAAAAGTTCAAAAATTCAGAGGGCACAATTTTCAATATTTAAAAATGACATTAATTATCAGAAACTCCTCTAACAGTCCTCAAATTTATTACAAAAAAAGTAGTTCATATAAAGGAGACAGATGGCTCTACTTATTACTGGCAAATTGTAATAAATGTTAGCTTGAAATGTAGAAGAATGTCAAACCCTTAAACCAAAGAAAAGAGAAACATATATACCTTTACTCTTCTTTGCATGTCATCCTCTACATCTTTTAGCATGCCTAGAAAGAGAACAATAAGTCTACAAAAGAAACAAATCAAAAATATAAATCTGTGAATCATCTTTACAAATGGTCTCACCTGTAACTCGAAGATCTGTCACACTGTTAGCCATTTTAAATCCGTAAGTCATTGACTGAAAATCTTCCTATACAGAAAAGGAATTATTAGAGGTCCTTGATTAGTAGCAAAACCTTTGTATTTCTTTCACAAAATCGCTTTTAAGAAAGTGGGAATGAATGCCATTTAGCCTGTCTAAATATACTAAACACATACACCCAAGCTTTTCTTATAGGACTGCACTTAAAACACCATATCCTAATGCTGACTCTGTCTCCTAAGTTTCAACTGCTTGTCTGTAGGCAATTTAAGTGTATTTACATTTAATATGTTCATTTTAGAAATAGGCTAATGCCTATGAGAAATACAACAAAGTTGTTAATTCTCACAAAGTTATCCCACATTCACTGGTGAACAGTACATAAATAATTACTATTTGATGACAGAGCTGTAATATTTAGATATTACTGAGATTTAGATTTTCAAGAATTATTAAGTACCTGTTAAAACCCTGTTAATAAGTCTTCTCAAATGCAATTACTCAAAGTGATAGCAAAATCATGTTTTATAGCCCAGGGTAAAGAAAAAAATTATTTATACCTGGATCCCAGCTCCCAAGTGATTTCTTTAAAAAATTTTAACATTGAGTCACAAATTAAATTATTTGCTGGACTCACTTTGAAAAAAATAAATTTAGTATCTTTTGGCTGATTTAACAAGACCTACTAAAGAAGTATTTCTGCAATATTATAATCCTACAAAAATGTAGATAGAAACTAATATAATGGAGTAACAGGTAATTATAGAAACAGTCAGAACTATAGCAGTTTCTGGACTCTAACAAAACAATGAGCATCTAATTCATGTCAGGTACTACATCTCATAAATACTGAGAAAGATAAGGGAAACAAAAAGCTCATCATGTTCTTGGTATCAATGAACTCAAGAGGTGTCATATGACTCACATGGGGTATTCTAAAATTCTCAAGTTATGTTACAGAGCTATAAACTTGTCATCTAGGTGAATTTAATACCCTATCTCCACTTGGATCTCAGAAAATATACTCAAATTTTATATATGAGAAAGGAACCAAGGCCCTGACCTATACTATATTCCAGCCTGTGTCTAACATCAATTCCTCATCCAGAGAATTCCCGTGTATCCTCCCTATAGCACTTTATGCCCTTAGCCTGCTTTCTTTTTCTTCATGGAACCTATTGCCAGTCTAAGAGAAACTCTTTCTGCAAGAGTATCACAGGTCTTGTGATGCAAATAAGCCTCAACAACAAGAATTTGGTCTGTTACTGGAGAACAGAGGAAAGGAGTCAAGTGAACAAACTGCAGCCACTAAAACATCACTCTGGGAGATCGGTGAAAGTAAGGATAAAAATCACAGGAGTCCAGGCAGTCCAGATGTTGACTCTACTTGACAATCCAGGTAGAAGTCGAAGGTGATGTGCACTAGGAATGTAATGGATGTGCGGGATGTAATATATTTAAAAGGTAGAGTAGAATACAGGTATGAGATCAAACATCACTTTTAGGTTTTCAGTCTGAGCAACTGACTAAAGATGGTACTATTTGCTGAGATGGAGCAGACTGTGGGAGAAGCACAGGGACAAAAGAACAATTCTGCTTATGCTTTGATCATCCACTGAAGATTTCAGGAAGTACTTTGCAGAGTCCAGAGGTCAAGAAAGGAATCAGGACTAGAAGATGTCTATCTGGACTTCACTAACATACACTGATATTAAAAGCCAGAACTAAGGAAACCAACTTAGAAGGGTATACAAGGAGAGGGAACCCTCAGGAATTAGACTAACCAATAGGGTGATGCTGAAGAGAAAAAAGTATTTCAAAGAGGACAAACTGGACCTATGCTTCTCACAGGTTAGAGGAGGAGTGGGAACACTGGATCTAATGAGATGGATAAAAACCAGTTTCACTGTAGAAGGAGGTAAAGAATGACCACTTGGAGTGAATAAGGAGAGACTGAAAAGGAGATTCCAAGATGGCGGCTAGAGGAAAGAAGCAGACAGCATGCTTCCTAAAGTGAAATCTTGGAGAGATGCTGGAGACACACTTGCAGGCAAGGCCACCGAGAAGAGGCAAAACTTTGGACCCCTCCACATGTCCCCCTGCACAGAGCATCTCCACTTCACATTGAACAGAGAACCAGGAGGGCCCCCGGGCCAACAGCCAGACACCAGCACCCAGATGGCTAGGGAAGAGCGGACCACAAGGTGAGCTAAGTGGTACGCGGTACTCCCACAGACAACCCTGGGCACAGCAGCCCCTGGACAAGACTGACCCCAACCCAGGGAAATAAAAGAGAAACTAAGTATAAGCAATAAGAACAATAAAGACATGTGACAAAGAGGGTGGGGCTCTCTGAGAGCGGAAGGGGGGGAGGGGGAATCCCCAAAGAACTATAAATAAACAAGCCGGGTCCTGGCCGGAGAGGGTGGGAGCGGAGGCACGTGCCAGCAACAGGCGGGAAAACTTGTGAGAGTGGCGGAGTGAGGAAAAACTCCACAGGAGAGGGGAACACCCACTTCCACGTGAGCTGTAAACAACACGCAGGCCTGAAAAAGTGGGTGCAGTGTCACCGTCGCCCAGTGTGCTTGGAAAGGGGAAAAGCTTGTAGCAGCTGCTCTCGGCCCAGAGAGAACCCTGAGTAAAAAAATCAGGGGCCAGGTGAGTGCTGAGCTCACCCTGAGATCTGCATAAATAACGCTGGCAGCAATAACAGGCTGACAGCAGCAGGAAGGCAAGCCACAGCTGCAGATAGCCATTCACAGACCTGTCTCCAGATTCTTTTTTTTTCTCTCTCCTATCTTTGATGAGAAAACAACCAAACTACACGTACATGCTGAAAAATTTACTGAAACTATTGCATTTGAACTTGGGATACTTTGTGGGTTTTTGTTTTGTTTTGTGCAGATTTGTTCTATTTTATTTTTCTCCTTTGATGAGACAACTACAGAACAACATCTGAGGCAACCAGTCTCCAGTATTGAGGTGAGGGACGAACACCAAAATTATTAAGACTGAAACTTCACTGCATTTGAACTTGTAGGGTTTTTTTAATTTTTATTTTATCCTTTTTTATTTTCTTATGTTTATTTTAATTTCATTATTTTTTGTTTATATATTTTTTTATTTACTTATTTTTTATTTTTATTATCTTTATTCTTTGTAATTTTTATTTTGAATCCTCTCTGTCTCTCTAATGCCTTTTCAGCTTACAATTGATTAGTACACTGTCTCTGTGTTTGTATCTTTGAAACTTTGTTTTTTT